ATTAGGTTATAGATACAATAAATACTAGGGAAATCGAACATAACTGAAATTTCGACAAGTTGGCGTGGAGTCTTATGATGCCGGGGTATTGAGTAGCTTTCATTGCTCATTTTGGGCCAGTTATTGAGGTAATGAATATAATGTAAAGAAATATTTGAAAATTATTCCATACATCTTAGACATGTATGACGTCATAATAAATACAATCGACTAATTAATTAATTTATGTCAAATGGCAGGCCTAAGAATATTTATCATTATACCCTTAGTTGACACCGGGCTTCGAGGAGGAGAGGAACAAAAGTCCCAAAAAGTAGAATGGGAACAGAGGAGTGATTAACAGATGTAAAAGAGGCAGACAATCATAATGGTAAGGTGAGGTGAGTACTGTGATATTGATTGAATATGACATACAGTGGGGTCATGGCAGTTTGAAGTGAGAAGTCAACTATCGATTTATAGACTTTTTTGTTGGATGAGTATACGTTGCCCAGGGTGCACGTGGTGCACTCCATAAACAAATTAAATACTTTTAAATACAAAGTATTAAATACTTTGGCTCATTTTCGTTTAGAGTTTTGAGCAAATGTGATTTTAGGGGTAAGTAGTGACTAAGTTTATTTGCCGAGAAAAGTTATTAACTTTCTCTACGACCGTTCGCCATGGTAACACAAAAACAAATCACGTTTTCCGAATGACAGTATTAATCACACTTTACTGGTTTCTACTTATTTTACTTACTATATTGATTCATTGGTATCTTCGGCTATAGTGGATTGGATTTGAAACTGGGTTCATTTTTCGCTCAGTCGAAATTCCTATCCTGTTTAATTTCGTTGGCCGTGTGCCAAAAGTAAATCGCTTTCAATGATTATTCAAATCTTAACTGCAGTCTTCCAAAATTATCATTTTATAAACATTGACACAACTTTTAACTTAGTTTTAAACATATAAATCTGCATTAATAAAATATCTAACAAAATGCTAAACCTCTATTTCAATTGGCCTCAAAATCCTTTCCGCGCAATAAAATGCTGTTGCTATGGCAGTTGGTAAATGACTGGATTTAGGAATAAGACAATTTGCTCAATTGCTTCTGACTGATTAATGGTAAACGACATAGGTGTAACCAATCTGCTTTTGGATTGCATAGTGGTAGGCTACACTTGCGCGAAGCGCACAAACGCATTGCTAAATTAGGCATTTGTGGTTGTGTGAGCTAAACACCTTTAACAGAATTTAGTGGCTCGCGCAGACAAGTGTTGCTAAAACGTGCTACTACAGCGTGGCATAAATGCGACCAAGTCACGTGATTAGGTGGTGCTCCTTATTCTGGGATGGCCCAACTCTTGTCCATGCCTCTCTCGGCTCCCTTATCTCTCCAATCCACCAACCGAGCACAGCATATGCCTTAGTTCGTGTAACTCACCTTGCTTTTTACTAAGTTGAAATAATGCCCCTATATTCACCCCCTTCCATTAATTTGGGATTGAGAGTGGTATAAATAAATTAGCGCATTGCTAATATTTACATCAAATGGCAGGTTTTATAATAGTCATGACCAGCCATTTAGTTGATTTCGGGCTTCGCAGAAGCAAGGAGCACCAAAGTCACAAAATGTAAGGGGGGGGGGACAGAAAAGTGATTCACAGATTTAAAATAGGCAGACGCGAAGGTGAGGTGAGTGCTCTGGAAGTGGTCAAATAGGATATAGAGTTGGATCATGGTAGTTTGAAGTCAGAAGTGAACTGACGAATAATAGACGTTTTATCCGTATGAGTGTATGTTGCCCAGGGTGCACCACGTGGAGGTAAGCTAATCGCGCACCCCACAATGCTAGTATAAAGGGCTTTAAAGAGAAATTAGGAAATGCGTACACGTATTTCAGGTGATTAAGTGGGGTTTTGAAATGTACACCTTCATGTGTATAGTAAACGTTGTATTAGTTACTAATTGAACACTATTGAGACCTATTAACTTAAATAGGATGTAATGTAGAAATTGTTCATGTAACTGGAAGATATGGAATGTGAAGAAATTATTCCAAATTTAACCTCCCTCCAGGAAACGAAGAGATAACGTTTCCGTTAATATAACTTTCAGAAACAAATCAAATAGTTACTAATGTCAAAATGTAGGTAACTATAGAGCCTAGGAGAGCTACTAGAATTTGAAATCTATCCATTTTATTGTCCAATTCCTGTCTTTAAATTAATTGACCTATTAGAGGTAGAGGTTAATAGTTGGGTAAACGTGAATAATATTAACCTTAAAGTTAAGACACTTCAGTAACTATGTTTGTGATGGGGAGGGGGGTGGGGGGGGGGGGGGAAGAAGCGTTCTGAAGCTGTGTCAAAATCTGTGACCTACTCATCTTTTCTCATATGCAAATAGATTTGGAGTTTGTAAGAAAGTAAGGTTTTTTATTCTGTTACAAGTGGCTTGAGGTGAGTTTGATAAAGGAAAAGGAGATAATAAAATTCAATGCATTTGCCTGAATGTCAATACCTATAAAGAGAGAGAGAGAGAGAGAGAGAGAGGGAGAGCGAGAGTAGTATGCATGTACATGAGGTCCCACATGGCTGGTGTCGTTGGTCACTTGTTAGGGGTTCCTGGAAGTATTCACAGGTCCTCTGCAAAGAGGAGGTGCCCACAAAGAAGCTGGAACAGGATTGGGTGGTTAAGTAGCCATGGGAGTCATGATTATCGACTGCTCTGGCTAATCACGGTGGCCACCTTCTAAGACATTTAAAAAATTATACAATTCTCACATTTTAGAAGGCATTTCTGTGAGTTTGAGAGAATACTTTGTGTAAAAGGGAATCGCCAAATGCACCAGTTTGATGATTTGATTGAAATTGTGGATTAATAATACCGCGAAACTAAATATATTCAATAAGTAGGTCCCAGTGCACTCAAGTGAATAATTATAACACTGGAACTGAAATAAGGGGTTTATCAGAAAAATAGTGCAGGTAAGGCCCTATCACCACTGAGCTATAACATGCTATGCAATAATATATCTCCACTAGAGTACAAAATAAATAAAGTCCTCAAACCAATTAAAGGTGAGGATTGCGTACGCAGGTTAAATTACATATTTAAATACGGATTAGCCTCGTCTGCTAATAATTCCTTATTTGCGAGTGTGAATTTCTCACTACACACGATTATCACAGTAATTTAAAAAAAGCTATGGTTTATATTCCACTAAACATACCATTTATTGGAGCTAACTTTAGTAAACAATTTTGGTGCTGTAAAGGGACAACTTTTCATTAGTGTTTCCAAAAGATGAGCAATAAAAACATGTTAGAAGGTCGGACGTAGGCGAAATTTATATGGAAGTTATCGCTTTAACAACATGAATGCGGATTGCATAGAAAATGCGAAGTGTGGGTTAAACTCAAATGTGGAAGTCGGATAGAAGGAAAAAGCCCATTGAAAAGCGTCCATGCTGGTCACGTGATGAGTTGAAGGAATGGCAATCACTCCAATCACATGGTCAGCATGTCTGTGATGAAGGCACCATGAGATCTGCTATAGGACTTAGCGCCTTTCAGTGGATAAGACTCTCTATCCAATCACCATCTACATAGACTTCCTTTCAACGAATTACATCACAATTAATTCTCGACAAGTCATCAAAACATGGATGTACTCCAATAAATTATTGCCTTGAGAACAGGTCATGAAGGAATTTAGTAAGCCATTCATTATCCGTTTCATATGATATCATAGCAATTAGCTACATGCTTTCGAAGTGTGGCGAAGCATATCTGCACTGAGAATCATGACACTGCACTAGAGAAGATTCTTTAGCCTAATTTCGGTATACTACAGAACATACATCATACAAGGGAAATTTATTTGTTAACAGAAAGCAATGAGATAACTGTTCAACAAGGATAAATATCCCATCCATCCCACTTAAACCCCATGGGCATAGTAAAGATTGTTTCAGTTCAAGGAAGAAAATTTAAAGTAACATAAGGTGAATAACTCATACCAAAAGCGCTTTCGTCATTGAGATCAAGCTAAACTTATTTCTAATATGTGAATGTTTGATATGTAATAAGTCAGACATTTGTATGAACAATATTCTCACGTTATAGGATTTGAAATAGCACAGAAGGAATTCCCTCTCTGTATAATGCAATAAATACGGCTTACAGTTTCTTGGTTTTAGGTGGAAAATGAAGCAGTTTACCGTAAGCACTGAACTCGTGACCTAAGCGACACAGCTTGCATACATGCGCGAAATTGAGTGAACATTTGCAGCTGCTAGATGGAGAAAAAATCGATACACACCTCCACATTCACATTTACATGAGTATCAAGGGACGATCGTAGAAACAATGATATTGTTAGTTAGAAATCACGAGATGCCAATCGACACACCCCACTACAGCGGGTTATGTTGGAGTCCATTTAGCCTACTAGGCAGGCAATCGATACTAAAGTCAGGTACTTGACTAATTATGCCTATGACGATTACATTAGATAGAGCCTCACTAAAATCCACTTCCAGTTTGCCAATTTGTATGTTGATTAAAACCAGCTATTTAGACAGCCAAATTTACTCGAGATACAAAATTAAGAGAAAATTCAATTCCAAAAGAGTTTATTGAGAATCCTTGGTAAACTATAAAGTCTCTAGAGGTAGTCGAACACCCAGAGATTAACAGCGCGCACACATAACAAGCAGATAAGAAACACATTATTGAAAGAAGGTAGAGCAAAATAACATGTTTGGAAGCATTAGCTGCATTTGAGTTGGACAAAGAAAACAGAAATATAGACGGGTGGAAATAATCATTCTTATACAACTGCACACCTGCACATCGAACATCATACATATATCTCTATTTCATCACTGCATGGGCAGGGAGAGAGAGAAAAGGGAACATGTCAATCTAGAGAGGATACAAGGAAGAGGGGGGGGGGGAGGGGGATGGGAAGAATATCTTGGATATACACAGAGGGAGAGAGATAGCCGTTCAAGCTTTCGCAGTTCCATTTTGGCTGTGACCACTTGAGCAGGCAAGAGAAGAACCAGAGGGAAATCTTTGTTCCAAATTTCTGCAACTTCCACCGGTATTGCCACAGGATTGCGAACAGATCGTACCACTTGTACTTGGTCGACTGGGAAAAGTACATTCGTACGATGCGGACATCTCCCGTGCCTCAGGAAAATGTCGACGATGACACACTCCACAGATTGGCTTGCAGCAGGTATTTAAAATTTGGGGAGTATCAGCACAGCCACCACAGTAGTATCTATGACAGAAGCTAAAAGAAGCACAAAGAATTACGAAAAATGGGGACGGGGGGGGGGGGTTAAACAATAAATTTAGAGGTCATAACGCACACCTGGGTCAATTCATAAAACATGCACTTGCTTTACACAAATAAAATTTGACAAACTTAGACTGACCTTAAGATCATAAACTAGAAATGTGGCAAATTTACACTAGATACTAAATTCAACCACACTCACTACTGTCATTAAAATCACTCGTATTTGGCCGATGAGTGAATGCCATAAATTTAAAGCAAACATGTGGAATAACAGGAAAGAGCACAAGACGGGAATGAGCAAACTTTTGTTCGATCTAATTGGTCTGCTTTGAGCATGAAAGGAAGCATCAAAACCACCTTATGTACCTAAATTTGGGCACTTAAATTCCACCAATAACATAATAAGGCACAATTCAAGATAAACTAAACACCAGTATCTTCTTTGACTCAATGAACCGGATTATTATAGCCAACAGCAAAAGGAAACACATTGCCATCTGAAGTGGACTGACATGTCTACCAAAAAACAAACCTCTCGCATAAAGAGTGTCGTACATGGACATTTTGCAGAAAAAAGATCAGCCAAAACAAATAAAGAAAAGCCGCAAACCAACACTTTGGTGGTTACTCATCTTTAGGAGTGATCACGCATGTAATAGATAAAGCAATGGCTTATTAAAACAGCACAAAAGTCAGGGTGAATGGAAAAAATTACCATTATTTTTGTTCTAATCTATACATTGAAAATGATTGAAAATGTGCGTTAATTAACAAATAAATATAATAATTTACACAAGTGAGCTTATCTTAGTTCGAATTATTAAATTGTGAGGCATAACGCATACTGTGAAGATCCCCCTTTAGTTTTATTTCCAGAAATATTAGATAATTTTAGATCGTGAAATTGCAGGACAAGAATTTCAAAACATAACAGAAAAACGAACCTGCAAGTAACAGAGGAGTTTAGAACATCGAGCAATCGATCACATCCGGAACACGAGGGTCCGGAGGGTACTGCGGAAGTCTCCACGAAATCAAAGGTAGAATAATCCGAGGAAGTGCTAGGACCACAGCGTTTTCGCCTCATTGGAGGTTGGAATTCAGGGAGAGAGGAGATATCTGAAGTTAGGGAATTAGAAATGGGAGGAACACCAACAGAAATTGAGGAGGGCGTAGAAGCCAACATAGTAGGCCAATTGAGAAGCATATCATCAGTGGCTGATTGAGTCATCAATAATTGGGGGGCAGCTGTTACGCTATCATTGATGACTCCCTGAAGATGATGATTGACCTCGAAACCGTTGCCATAGCCCCCAAAGCCGCTTTCGACTTCCAGTTGATTGTCTATGGCATCTGTCAGGGCCTAAAACGGAATTAGACAAATATAAGATTGAAGGGACTGTTTGTGTCTAAATCTATTCCCGAGCTGAAAGAGCAATAGCATTAAATCACGAGAAAATGAACCAAATATAAAGTCGATTTATTCTTTGCCAAAGGATAAGAAACGATAGCAATCGCAGACTTCAGGTATAGTGAACATCTAGAGAGAAAAAAATATCCTGTTGAGGCACTGGATTTTTGGATATTAGTTTTGGTTCAAGGCCCCCCCCCCATCGAGTAAGGAGATCGCGTGACTGCCTAATTCATTTGATAACAGACGTATATAACATTTTATTGTTTCTTATTTCATCGATTAATAAGTATCGACTCACATTGATAGCTTGAAACGACAATGCAAATGGCTCTGTAACTAAAGATGGCGTCAATATCACAGTTCCTTTATAAGCTTTGTCAGAACCGGGTGTAATCTTTCTTTCGTTACTTGACGAATTTAAGTTAGTTCACAAAATGAGCGATTTAGAAATACGAACCTTCAATCAACTAAGTGTAGCTATACTTAAACGGAATGCTGTCAAGTACTTCAAGACATGATGATCTACAAGGAAGAACTGAATTATAACTCAAGCTAAATAGCAACTTCATGAGACCGAAAACTAAAACTTCGGCCTTTCCTCCATCAAAAATGCAAAAAAGGAAGGTAATAGGTGACAGAAAAAATACGTTGTTGACATGCCAATCCAAAATTTGTCAAAACAAATTGACATGAGATACGTTTAGAAGATTCACCACTCCCACCCTCCCCTCATTTTTGGCGTTATTCAACATGATATGGACAAGATAGCGGCTTAGAGGTGGAGAACGTATTTTCTCTGCCATATTTGGATGAGGCTGACAGAATTCACAGTTAGACCGTAATCTGTCGGATATATAAATGATGTCCCGAAACTCGACTATAGCATAAATGCACACAAACGAGCAAATAAATGAACAAAACAAGAGAGACTTGTGAAGAAAACCCTACGAAAACTTCAGCCCAATATGGAATGACCAACCTAGAAACCTGATCTAAAAACTGTAGGCTCGATTTCAACTTAAAACAATCAAACTTTCAAATACATGGAAAACTACACTATGCATTAGTAAACACAATAAAGGAACCTCATTTTTTTCGAAGGGAGGGAAGGCAAAATTCTAACCTCAACAATAGAGGACGATTGGTTGGCAGGTTCATTACCGTTGCCATTGTGCCCAAAGGCAAGTGAAGATGACTGGATGCCATGAGTAACATTTGTCGGCAACTGAGTTTGAGATGTAGCCAGCATTGTGGAGGCTGAACCATTGGCACTATAGTAGGAAGTAGTCGCAATAGCAGCAGCGACGTCATTCTTCTCATTCAACTTAGCTTCCAATTGTTCATTCAGTTCCCGAAGAGCTTCAAGTTGAGCTTGCAATTCGGCGACATGTTGATCACGTTTTCGTAATTCTTCATGGAATTTCATGGTAATCTGATCGATTTGGAGAGGCAAGCCATCCCAATCTACGGAGACACTATGCTCTGGAAGGAGTTGGGTCTACAGGAGAGAAGGTGAATGTAAAGACAGAGTTAATTTATTATTTACCACAACATAATCACACTGATGCCAATTTTGTCAAGTAACTCTTTTGCGGTATTTTAATTCTAGTAATTATAGCCTTAGCTGACGATTCATACACCCGCTAGATATTGGAAGGCTGTACCTCACTCACCTGCAGAAGTAAGGCGGATATGCATGCTCTCCAAAGTCGCTTTATTGATCGCTTAATGAGAAATATTTACAATAGGATAAAAAAATAAAGGTTGCTGCCATGGAAAGGAAGATTGTCAATTTATTCAGGTCAACAGTCACATGTTAATATCACGGAGACTACATAGAGTGTATTGTTCATCTTTTAAAAGGGACGACTGCAGCCTTAAGCTAAAGGCTCTTTATCATGAGCAGTAAACTTACGGATAAAAAAGAATAAATTCAGTCATACGTGCTACAATGTAAAAAAGACAATGGAAATCTTTGATAGAGCAAGCCTATCACGACTGAAATCCAGTAATGGTGAAACCGGATAAAGTGGATGTTGGCATAGAGGAAAATGCTTATAAATTATATTTCAGTTCTAACTTCCCCTCGCTAGGTGTTTAAAGGTATAAAAAGGAGAAAGTTAGTCAATATATAGCCTCACTAAGTGTTCTCTTAAATCCAGGTAGAGGTTACAATACGCAATATATTATGTGGTCAAACAATGTTCAAACTCAAAATTTCAAATGTAAAAAATAGGTTCAATTTCAGATACAGGGTAAAATTTACCTCTCCAGAAGCTGTTGAACCACAAGATTGCCCATTTGAATGTCCAGTAGACAGATCGCCAAATTCCGAAGTTAGTTGAGAAGTGCTTCGGGGCAGATTCCTATTACTAGCGCGCTGTAGAGATGATTGAATTTCACTTTCCGTGTGGGATCTAGTACGACTAACGGTAGATTGAGCTGAAGAATCATTAGATCGTTCACCTGAGTTTTCCTCATCTTGGCCAGATGGTTCATTCTGAATAGCTGACACCTCATCTTCCAGTGGGACTTTTGATTCCTTAGCCAAAATTCGGAAACTGTTACTATACACAGGACCGCCGAAATAGCCTTCGATCCAATTCACCTATTTAGAAAGAAAACACACGGAAGTGTGACCCGTTTTATCACATTAATACTTTGTATCTTTTTGTTTATTAGCCTCCACTCCGCCTATGCAATCAATCTCAAGTCGGGCGTTAAACTTGCACAAGCGAATAAGATTTTACCACCATAGCACTTACAGTAAATTCATTTTCGTTTTATAATGCATAGAAGACATATGATGGGCGTTATATCAAAACTAATAATTCAGAGGATAGATGAAACTGAATAATAAACTCCTCAACTGAAGCAATGCGAAATACAACTGGAAGCTCATATCTCAAGCTTAGGTATGGAAAAATTTCAAATAAACCTTAACACAAAAAACACAGGGTTCAGTTTCATAATCTGAGGCTTCGCTTAGGCTGAAAGCTTAGTGAAACGAGAATTCGTAATTAAATTAGTCTCTCCACCTATTAATACACTTGAAATGAATATTCCCAACGTTTTCAAAAGTCTATTTGACAGACCTAAAGAAGCAAATTACGTGGTCAGGTGATGTAGCAATAGCCTATTCTGTACCCATAACACACAACAAGGACGCGAAACCCACCGAATTATACACAACCAAAACTAACAAATTGAAATCTGCAAACATGTCTTCCGACAAAGATGAAATCTTAAAAGAAGCTTGAAGATTAATAAAGAAAACGTAACATACTTTTCCCTCAAAGTTAATGCCAGATAAGGAGACCTGTGATTGACACACTGAGGATGCAGCTGAGAGATTTTGTGAGGGATGCAGTGAAGCAGCAGTACGATTGCTATAGACCTTCCTTTCCTCCATCATTTCCTCAGGAATTCGAGTAACAGGAGTTCTGGAAAAAGTTGTCTCCATATCTTCTTCTTCTACTACTTCATGGCTATCATCAAGGGTGGTTTCATTAACAACCAGGGTGTCGTTGTCTCCAAAGCTCTGAAAAAAGATAAGTTTAGTACTCATCAATCACTAGAATTCAAACCTTGTTACGCCTAGAAAAACATTTTCAACACTCATCAAGAAAAGAACGATAATATCAAGTCTACCTGGTAGGAAAATCGATTTCGAACACAACTATTATTATTCAGACTTAACCAGTGCAGTTGGCCATTATGCACCCACAGATATCGGACTTATCGGATGAGTATATTAATTGTTATTGGAGCTTAGGACCCATAAATAGATCGAAGTTATTATGGGCCACGGTAGAAAGCTCATGCTAATTACTGGCACAGTATAGACAAAGCCCACAGACATCAACCAATAAAGCTGGCACGCAGCTTTAAATATCTAGTATGCATTCATAAGTTTGTACTTCTGAATTTCTAACGTCGCCCTTCCCTATCCAAAGAGCCCAATATGCTTAGACATTCATTCCTAAATGTCTAGGTCAAGAGGAGTAGCCAGAAATTAATAACTCCGATCGCTATTCTTATTGACCTTCACTAATTAACCCAGTTTTAAAATTGACAAATTTCTACGAAGTCATTCAATCTCTCACTTACCGAAAGCCTAAATCCTCGAAACATCCTACTTTCGGAACAAAGTGGTGGGTCGCTACCAGTTCGTACATGCTTGTGAGGTGACACTTTGGCGGAAATATTTTGGTCAGACAGAGAGACATTTAGTACTTCATCAACCCGTTCAATTGAGAGCTCAGTCTGTGTCCTCGGAGCAGTATCAGCAGATTGTTTGGGAATATCCTTCAGAGAAGACGAAGAGACGGTAGAAGGAAGATTCACTTGCCCATGTTGAATACTAATGTTAGAGAAGGACTGGGAGCGTTGACGTGCTTCAGCATTGGACGCATGCATGCTTAGATCCTCTGCTCCTGCTAAAATATTTATCGGTGTAGGTGGAGGCATTAGTGTTGAAGCAGCAGTAGAAGGACCAGATTTTGCTGGAACATTCAATTTTGTTGCTGTGATTTGAAGAGTGGACGTATCACTGCCTCGCCGCAGAGGAGCTGAAAATAGTACTGACTGAGGTCCAGAAGAGCTTGAAGGTAAGAGGGCCTTCTTGTACAAATTCTGCCACAACGCCAAGTCGCTTACATGGTAGGCTGGGGTTATTACCTAATAACGAGAAGGGGGATAGGAAGAAGGCATGAAATTTTACAAGTATTCAAATTAAATAGTTGGGCAAACTACCTCATCATTGGGTTTGTAAAGGTAGTTTAATATTGACCAGTTGTACTTGGGATTTAGGAATGCCCAGAGAGAACAAGAGGGCAGGTTCTTTTGTTCTCCTTGACGCTCAAACTCAGAGTTGCATAGAAACGTTCCAAAGAGCCCTGAGTAAGTGTGAATGGCTATTTTAATCTGAAATGAAACAGAACACAAAAGAACTATAAAACACCTATTTAGAGTGGAGCATTAGTAGTTAAGAAAATTTGTTAATGACGAATGATCGAATTATGCGCAAGTGGGGAAAAGTATATCGATTAAAATTAGGTCAAGAGAGCTATTCAACAAGTTACCTGGGGCAATCACACACCTATAATGCATTTCAAGCGAAAATCTAACTGTATGAGCACAGACGATAATCAAAATGATTTCCGACAGTATGGCAACAGACCTAACAGATATAAGAGAAAGATTGCAACCAACATCTTAATGAGTAAAATATTTATCATAAGATTAGGATCTACCGAACTCTGCCTACGTATGCCGTCAAGGCAAGTGACTAAATTAAACTCACACTTCAATCTATCATCACTTATTCTGTTTACAAATTTCCACGAAGACGAGAAATAAATCGTATGTCGAACGTACCAAGAAGAGTTCATTGAATTGAAAGTGGCTAGGAAATTGACGATGAATTTGATGAACGCAGTCCAACCATTGAAGAAATATTGGACTTTGCTCTTCAGAACTGGTTCGGCTAAAGCTATGTCCACATCTATCAGCAAACTTGTGTCCAAATTGCAACCATTCACGTTCCACTAGGAAACGGAAGCCCTAAAAAGATGAATGAAATAAACGATCGTTTTCGTTCAGAAGGAAGATACATTCAGGAGCCCCACAAAAGAGAAACTCTCAAAAGAATTCCTCTACTGGTATGTTAACGTGATAGGCTACCCGAAAGATAATTGATTTTGTGAATTATGAATTGACAGATGTGCATGTTAACCATCGTAACAAGAAAAAGATACTAACCTCAATTGTTCGGTAGTAGGGATCCAATAGGAGTTTAGCGAGAGAGGTCAATTGGGGAGTTCTATCCCATCCATCAGTGCAATGGACCATGACTGGCCGACTATGTACTTCAAGAGCTGCAACAATATCCACAGCAGATTTGAGCAATTGGCTAATATAACTCAGCCACATTGTTGTATCTACTTTCTGTAGCCAACTAGAAATAAACAAAATACAAGGGCATTATAGCAAGCGTACAAAGAAAAGGGTAAACGAAATGGTTTGTGGAAAATAAAAGATATGACTGGACTAATACGTAGTAGTTTTGCAGTAGAAAACAATTCATTACACAAGCAGATCTAGATGTGCTACAATGAAAAAGGTAAAACTAACCTAGAATCGGGATTCCTGTACAGAGCAATGAGGGCTTCAAAGCTCTTTCGAACGTAATGCAGATTCGGGAGATTCATAAAACGGATCTGCGATTGGTTGTAGTATTCGCCAAATTCAAATCCACCACCTCTAAATCGATTAAATTGAGCTGCGGTATAGTCTCTAGCATCGACAATGAGCAGCTTATGTGAATCTAAAAAGTAAAAGAAAAATACCATAAAATATTGAGACCACTAAAATAAGTGCTAACATAAGATGGAAGGCATCAAGGAGCCTTTCTTATAAGAATCTGGGATTCCAACACTTGAACAAAATTAAATAAAATATGTGGTTGACCATCCAAACCACTGAGTGTAATCTGATGGTCAGCGACATGGTTCACCAAACGGACACGGCGATCATTCTGATATGGGAAAATGCAGTTAGGTTTTCATCACAATGATTAAATAACTTCAAACTTTTTTAAGTTGCCACACGTACCCACATTTCAATATCGACACGTAAAACATCTAGATATACAATTTAGTCGGGATTAATATTACTCAGAACAGGGGTGTGCAACCTGGGCAACGTATACTCATTATACGGCAAAAGAGTATTAACTGGCAGTTGACTTCTCACTTCAAACAACCATCACTCCACTGCATGTCATATTCGACTACTTCCACATTACTCATCTCGCATTTTTTCTACCTTTGTGTCTGTCTCTTTTACATCTTTGAAACACTCTTCTGTCTCCCCCCATCTCGACTTTTTTTCACTTTGATTTTTCTTCCCCTCTGTTAATCCTGAAGTCAACTAAAAGGCTAATAATAACTATCAAAACGCCTACCATTTGGTATAAAAATATTACCCAAATCAAAGAAAAGAAGCAAAATTCGGTATCATGCTCAGAGCACAGGGATAGAATAGCGAAATTACGCTAAAAGTTTGTCCATATATTACTATGTGCAACCAGCTCTATGTTCAGTATAGTTCCAATTTAATGAACCATTAATGTTCCATTACGACACTTCTTTTATAGCACAGAGAGAATAGAACAAAACTAAAACCTATCACATGGCCGAGCTTATCCAAGGTAGCTCCTAATAGTAATGATAAAGTAGAAAGCAATAACAATCCAAAAATAATACCAAAACAAATCAATAAAAAAACTAACCACCAAAGAATTTTCCTCCTTGTAATATTAAATACCTGCCACTAATATCCACAATAACTTAATATCAAGATGACAGTGTCCACATACTTAACTGGCTTTTAAATTTCACACCGATTTTAAGATATAAATTTACCTACAAGGTGTCAACTTGCACTTTTCTAATCTCCATTTCGAGAGTAAATTAGTTTTGTCCATCGATTAATTACCATATAGTAAGATAGAACAAACATCGATTACAACAGAACTACCAAAAAGAGTGCTCAATGTGGACCAATCAAAGGCGCAATAGACGACAATTTTATTAATAAGCAAAGCCCTCCAGAAATGACCCAGAATTGCCTCAGAACTACTACTCCCAAATAGCTAGTGCACAAGACCATTCACTGGTCACGTGTAGAGTACAAAGAGCGAAATTGAAACTCTAATGTTCTCAGAGTCCTTTCAAGCCCTGTTCTACTTTCAAATTAGAAGGCTCATTCGCTTCCCATTTTCAAGTCTGATATGGTTAAATAGCGATCCATAAAGATATGTATAAACGAATTAAAAATAACAAACCTCCGTCTGATTGACTAGGCTGTAGAACTTTTCTACAGTTTTCGAGCACTGCAGCCACAAATCTTTCATCCAACTCATTCCTTGAATACATAATTCCAACGCAGGGTTGAGCACATCTTAACAAAACAGCACCAGTTTTCCGAGAACGCCAAACAACTGAAGGGAATCTATGATGACTCCTAAAAGAAGCCATGCTCGAAATATCCTGATCAGATACGCCTCGGGGCATTATATGATATCTTGGATAACTTTTGCAAATTCTAATAAAAGAACAAAGAATTAGAGTATCAAAGAGCAATTTGCCTAAACGAGTTGTTCTCGTCAGTTATTTTCCAATCGCTGTTAAATTCCAATCGTTCAAATTCGTAGTATACCATCGATGCCTCAAAGGAAGTGTCTTTATCTAGATAAGTAAGAATTCAGATTAAAAACTCACCTCCAAGGCCAATGATTTCTTTGAGAGAAAATAGCAGTGGATGGTTATCAATACGTTGTTTGAGTTCTTCACGAAACAGGACGGAAAATGATGTTTTATAGTGTTTTGGGGAAAATAAAAGAGCATTAATTTGTTTTATCCAAGCTTCACAAGTTCCGACACTTGAAAATTGGCAACTAAATAGAGTAATAATTGGCAAATAATTTTACTTGAATGTTGTTCCGATTTTTGTCACTATATCTAAGTGAACCAAAGATGTCGAGGCCTCACAATATCGCATAAGCCAATTCGGAATGCTAATTATATCGCACTGTTGTTTGCGGTATAATATCAATCGAAAATTGGTAAGACAGATTCCTCCATTAACAGTTTTGTTCATAAAAAGCAATTCCTCCGATGGAAGAAAATGTACCCGATGGATCCAATGATTTACCCGATTATCGTAATGATTGCTTTGCGTAGAATTATCAACTTCCATCTTAATTATCGACTACACACCATAAGATCGTGGACAATAACAATCTAAACGCAGCAAGGTCGACTTAAAATCTGGCCAGTGTAATATGAGGGTATGTTTACAGCGCGATAGTTTAAAACAAATGTGCAATTTAAGCAATGAAATTCTAAATTATTGATGAGATTAGCTGATATCAAAGTTTTTCAAATGAATACGTTTCCTGATGTTAATTAGTTTTATTTATTCCAATTCTCTTAAAAGGAGCCTGTTATTTTTAATTAAATGGAGGACAGTGTGATTTAATAATAAAATCTAATCGAATAAATTCAAGGTTTAATGTTGATAAAAGTGCAAATGTTTAACAGTTATTCAATTATTAATATAGATTTCGCTGTAAACTTTGATTATCATTCATATTAAATGAATATGTGATATATGTGAAAAAGAGAGGCCGGCAAATAAATTTTTCTATCGATGAACGATTATATTAGGAGGTATTGTGCATCTAAACATTAAATAAATGTATTATATCATTTTTTATAGTCTACAGTTCAATTGTGCCATATTAACTTATTTACTAATAAGATCTCTGGAGAAGTTATCTTATTACGATTTAGACTCCGGTTTTATTAATAATTTTGCTGCAATGATCGTAATATAAAAATTTATAAGAAACGCCCAGGCAGAAATTTTGGTTTTGTTTTTCAATGCAAGTGAATTCTTCTCCTATTTGGACTGACATTGGAAATTGACACTCCCCCTGACCTCTCACAAAGACACTTAGAACTTCCAATCTATTATGGCTTATGGTTCTTTTTATCTCCTCTGTGGATGGCTCGCATACTTGACTCTCACTTTTCAGATTTTCTCTCGTCTTCAATCCCAAACATCTTATTTTTCTTATTTAATTTCACTATAAATGATATCCTTAAATTTTGACTTTTCTTTCAGAATGAACTAGGGATAAACATGGGTTATATAAGAAAATGTTTAGCCTAACCTGACATAGCTTTCATATCCTTATTTTCTTGAACTGGATTCAGACCAAACTCTATATGCAAATCAAATTTTTTAATTTCCACTATCACACGACGGGTAAACAAAGACTACCATTTAAATTTATAGTTTCTAATAATTTTATTATCTTGAAAATTCATTCTCCATGCGACTTTCCTATCATATATGTTTATCTTTTAAGAAAATCTCTTCTGCATTTAAATCGCAAAAACTTTTCGTTCTTGTTATTAATTCTGATAGCGAGTTGTAGAGCTCTCCCCGACGGGTGTACTACTTGACTGATTTGTCTATTTTTTCATCATCCTCAGCCAGAGAGTTCTGAAAATCCCCGGAAATAAAAAATACTGTATAGAGGCGGAAAATAACGATAACATGAATGTTAATTTTGTTGTGCGTTTCAGTGTGATAATAAACAGCATTAATTTGAATTAATTCGCTTTAATACTTTATGTTCTAGTATTTTCTAATGGCTGTAAATAATAAAGGCCTTTAAAGCATGTCTAGAGTGTACACAACGTAGTTATTATAAAAAATGCATAAGTGATCATAGTTTAAGGAAATGGGACCGATGAAGATACAGAAACGATTGTTAGTATTGGGAAGATGATAAGCAGCCATTTTAAAGTTAAAACGGAATGCGGACACTTGGGCTTATATATTTTAGCAAGAAGACCAGTATTATAAATTCATTTTCTTTGAGAATACAAAGAAAATACAAACTGCCATATGAATGAATTGTAATTAGTGTTCTAATGTTTACAAATTACTTAATCCATCCATTGCTACATATTAAAATTTTCTAATAATTTTATTACATTTTAGTATCTTAACTATCTGCAAGTATTTAAAAGCTACTATATTATACGCAAGCCACCTTACTTTTGACATTGTTTATTACTCATAAGACTATATCTCAATATTTATGGCAAATTAGTGAAGATCATAAATAAAATTTTGATTAAAGAATGTAGCTATTTCATGATAAAATTTATCACTTGCTTCTAAAACGGTGGATTTTAAAATTTGATGTCTTTTGCCTAAGGGAACAAAGACCCTGAAACATGTAACGTCCTTCATAGTCGATGTATTATAGCTAGCCTACACAAATGTCACGATTCTTGTTTTATCCGCATGCCCGGGATGTTATACAAAGGCTTCCAGAATTTTATAAAAAAAATTATCTGAAAAGGTTTACGCCAATTACCAATGTTTCATACTTTGAGGATGATGGGGAACCCTATACTAGAGCGTCTAATAATGCTTTGTACGAGGATGATTGCGTAATTACGAACTTCTATATAGATATCCGAAGGAACATTTTGATGTACCACCTAAAGTGATCTTTCCTGAAGAATCACAGAGAGCCCTTTGGGGTGGTGAAGGAATTGTTACAGGGTTTATTGAAGTTAAACGAACAGGCACGAGGTATTGTTACATCGTTGAAATAATATTTTAGAGTTCCAAAGACATGGGGACCGGAATTACGTCAGCACCTCTTTCATAGTGAGGTGCTTGAACGATGGATGATGATTATTGTCTCTCTGACAGCCCTAAAGCAGATCGAAAGAATGAAGGGTCTCGATTTTTATTTATTAAAGGTTAGGTTGCAATTACTTATTCATAGATAGACTCCAGAAAATGAAATCAACAGTCGTCTCGGTTTGCACATCAAACGCGAAATCCTAATGAAGTTGGTGGATCCCGAATTTCAGCGATCGAAGCCTGATATCGCTGCGAAATATGCGAATTTTGTTATCCCCGTAAGTGTCGTCGCATTGTTTGTAGAATATCGTATAAATTCTATACTTTGCTTATTGCTTTTTTCCATGTTTGTAGCGGGAAGAAGCGGAATGGGTTGGTTTGACCTTAGATGAAGCTATTAAAAAGCAAATGAAAATCGAATACGAAAAGCAACGGTTGGAGGCTTCAGTTCCAAAGAAGATTACTTTATCAAAAACTCTTATTGAGAGACTTGAATCTGGTGGTAAGCTACATTTGATCCCACTGCTACTGTCAAAATATTCGATTTAATTTGTTATTGGTCCGTCTTTGTTATTCAACTCGATCATGTATTCGATATAAAAATCCCAATTACTACGTTCAAAAATGGTGTGAGCAGTAAAGTAGTGTTTAATAACTAATCGAATTTCATTGTGGCGATAGCAGATATTGCAACTATTAAATTTTTCCTATTATTGTTGCTATTGGCCATTTGAGTGGGTCATTCAAATTACTGATCGCTTGTTCTCGAAGTAAGTGAAAATGGTTTAACCCTAAACTCTATGATTAGAATTTAACTGTATGACTGACTATCGCTGTGTGTGCTTTATTGAGAATTGATTTTTTTGGCCTCTACTATTGGCGGATGTGTAAATTAGTTACTGGTCAAGGTCACAAATACTATGATATCTCAGTGGGAAACCCGAATTTCACCTCTTGTTTACGAGTTTTTAATTGACAATTTCTATTTAATGCTTAATTAGTATATTACTGATACGCTCTAAGTAGCATTGATAATTTAATTTTTTAGGTGAAATTTCAACTTCTAAAACCCCACCAATTCGCTCAATTCTGAGTCGCTTTATCTACGGCGAAAAGACGTGAAAATATCTTTTTGTTCATATTTATAGATATTGTATTGCTAATAAACCCTCATTTATTGTATTGAATGACCTGCTTTCTTACATTTGGGCAAAGTATTTGGATCGGATAACGCCACACTTATTGCTGAAAAATCACATTTAGATATGCATTCACACATATTGCGAAAAATTTGGGTTGACGGGAATAGAAAGCTATTCACACTGCAAATTTAGGTGCTTGGTAATGGCCACTTTATGTAGGAATGATGATTAATCTATAGTCCTGTTTTATCACCTAGTTAGATTAAAATGTATTTATGCTCAACAAAGGTGAGTTTATTTATGCTATCTCACGTTATATCCAAATTTATACATACATTAATAGGGCATTTTATCATTTGCTTAGAGTATTCCGAAAATTTGACAATAAATTTCAGTTTGAAAAATTTTTCGATGACCTATAAGGAACAGTAGAAATTTGAAATTTTTCCTTAAAATGAAGGAGATAATGACTAAGCTCAAGAACACTATTGATGCGGTTAGTAGAGGTCATCAACTTTTAATCATGCTCTTTAATGCTAGGAAGGCATTTGAAACAATTTCGCATTTAGCACAAGCAAATTGGAAATATTTTGACTGTCTCATCACAATTTAGGTCAAGACTTTTTCTTGATCGAATGGCACATGTGGATCTGTTGCGGATCGCTACACTAATAAGCCCTGACCTATACTCAGAAAGCCCTATAGCAAGAATTCCTGTTTCGAATGGTTCCCGAGATTAGCTACTATATCTCAGGAAATAAACTTATCACGTAAAACGCGTTTATTTGGGCGTGATAACCGCTCACTGGTTTTTACTTTCGTGTGGTCAGGAGGCCTCTACTTTCATCATGCTGCAGCTGTGTTTCCCACAGTTACCATGACATTACTCGTGGTGGGTATGAAATATAAACACTGATGAGATGGATAGTGTATTAAAATTGATAGCATTCTTAAAAATATGCGTGTTTGTTTGGAAATATAATATTATTAAGGTGAATGTTGTCTACTGGAGAAATTCACATTCTCGAAAATGATTACTATTAATAATAATAAAATAGCCACGAAATTAATTAAAGTGAAATTTATAATTTATGATAACAATATTTAATGACTTAATTGAATTAAAGATATAAATGCATTAAACTGACTCACAATGTGGGGCCAACTATGCTATTTCAATCTCTATCCAAATGTACTCTGAAAATTGAGAACTCAGAATCTAGTGAAGAAGTCACATCCAACAATAGACAACCCCACCTTTCTTCAAGCAGCAGATATATCCTTACATCTTTACTTGCTAAGTCAAATCAGGTTTATAATAACAGCACCCCATGTTTGCAATGCTCGAATTTCCTCAAGTGTAATGACCAAATCGACACACTCGGTTCCTCTTAGTAAATGGATCCAACTTTGCTCTTTGTTAACTCAATAATCAAACTGATGTACAATCGGAAGAACCATATTGAAGTGAAATGAAAATATTTTAATGTGCTAGAAAAGTTTTGTCAAAGTTTTTCATTAATAAGAATTGAAATAAAGCGGGGAGGATTGTTCCAATGTAAAGTTCATTGAGAATAATTCATTAAAGATTGCGGAGAAATGTTAACGAGATTCGTCAACTGTGTTCCGCGGCTTATTTTCTTTATGAGCTATTAGGTTATGAAGTGTCGTAGCAATAACCACAACGACTTCAAATACACTTGCCGTTATTGCAGCATGAATTCCATCTTTTGTGAAGAGTACGTAACCAAAACCAAATAATAGGTTCAGGAAGATCAACGATAGACACCCAACTGCCGGCTAAATTAAAGAAAAGATAAAAATGAATTAAATTGACTCACAAAAAAGATCCAAGCAAGCTTTCCACGTATGAGTCCATAAAGTATTGGGAAAACAAAAGGAAGATTGGCGATCCCATAAAAAAGCATAAATCCATACGAACTTTCAATGCCATAGTGAAGAATAGCTTTATAGCCAATTATAATCCACCAGATGCCACATCCCTAAACGAATAAATTTAATTTTTATAGATGGAATATGAGGACTTACACTTATTACACTTGCGGAAAGCGCAATGCCAATTTGCAAGCAGAGCAGCAACTTGTTCATTGCTCAAATTACTGTCAATTGGAAAGAATCCACACCTTCACTCAACCTTGCTTACCTTTTATACCCAACATTTAGGGGGGTTGACAATGACCTCAAGTATGTCACTAACCACTTTCTATGATGCATTACTGGAGAAATGAGAATGTGGTAGTAAATGTGTAAAGAAACAAGAAATTTAAATAAAGCAATGTAAGTTTTCTTCCACCTAATTCCATACGTCGTCGTGTTTGTTGCATCTGTTTCTGCCAACTGCCTTTCAGTTAGCTTGATGAGTGGAATGAACTTAGTGACCCAACATTCTTTTGTGTTAAATATGAAATCATCTTTAAACGACTGTAAGATTCAGCACGATTATTGAACATGAAATGGCATTTCAAGTATCGCTAACACTTGTGATAAGGCCAAACCATCCATTATCTTGAAAACATGCTGTTAAACAGCACTTGCTTTGATAAATTTCAATTCAGTCAATGCCTTTCAACGTCTAGGCTAATTCTTCAAGTGCTTGTTCAAAATGTAACCTCGCGTTTACAGTGGAGGCAGGGAGGCGTTTATAGAAATGAAAATGACCAAAAGCTAAATGGGTATCCTCTTGCAAGTACAGGAGGATTCATGATGAAGCTCGAATTGCCACAATCGCAATATACATTCCTTTTAACGTTGTGTTGTACTCAAGAATTAGATGGATAATTATAATGATTTGATGTTCAATAGTTGCCTTAGGATTCACAGTTTTAATGTTACTCAGTCAGTTAATAAGGAAGAATTTTCGGTCACGAAGTTCATTCCACTCAAAATGATAACAAAGATGCTGCAACTGATTTGTTAGCTCAAAAATTTAAACTTTACAGACAAAGAGTAGCACAGTAGTGGGGAGGGGGGAAATAATTTTATGACGCCGAAAATGTCATGTCAATTATAATCTAATTTGTGTTCAAAAATAAAACAAATTGAAAGGATTTTAAATGGCCTCATCAATTGAAAGGAATACAGTTGCGTTTGCTGAGTGGGAGAGAGAGAGAGAGAGAGAGGGAGAGACGTAGGTTTTTTCTTGCGTTCTCTTAACTTCTAATCGTATATGGTGTTATAGCTGCAAGGTGTAATCTACCTCCTTGAGGATTGACGTGGTTGTTTAATTTTTGAGCATCCATTCCCCTGCCAGCCCCCCCC